CGAAAAATCAACGTGCCCCCGCCACCCCCCCAGCCACCTGCAGCTCGGCGTTTCATAAAAACTTTGCAGAGGGTTTTCCCGGCAGAAACTCTCTCCGCCTTGCACGGAAAGAAGAAGGGAAGAGCCTCTCCTCTTGTCCTCCTCCAACGTGAATTTTTAAAAAGTCACAAAAAGAAGCGATCGGACTTTTGCAACCTTCAAAACGAAACCCCGAAAGGTACTTTTTTTTTTTCCCCCCCAATCAATGTATAGTCCTTTTCTTATTCTCTCTTGTTTGCCTGAATGTTGTCACCAAGTGAAAAAATTATTTAACTATATGTACAAATCGCCCTTTAAAGAAGTTTTACTGATGTTAAATGTATTTCAGTGCCAAGGTCAGATTACGTGCCCCACAACTGACTTGTTGCAAATAGTAATAAAAAAATATTACTTTAACTTTACGCTGACTTTTCGTGAATGGTTCTTAAATTCAGGCAAGTTCTTTCTTTCTGAACCTCAGAAGTAAAAAATTTTTAAAGAAACGGAAACATGAGATGTAAAGATAGTCTAAACGCGACACCTAGCCGAAGCCTTCATTTGGAATATTCAGCGACATCTTCTAAACTTCCCTCTAGTTTCTATAAAAAATAATGCATCTAAAAAAAAAAATCTTATCTATTCCGTAGTTCAGAATGTGACAACATCTGCTCTATTTCCATGACTTTAAACTCCCTCTGTAAATCTCGGGAATATATGGAGCATCGCACAGTACCTCGCCAGAATTTAGACAGAATTAACCGCATGCCGTTTCCCACCCTCCAGCCGTCACCTTTCTTTTCCCTTATCATTTTCTTTATTTTTTCCCCCCGGTAAATCTCGAACACTTGCCATTTAGTTTTAAAAATTCACCGCGATGTGCCTTCGCTTCCCTGAGCGAGCCGGCTGCCCGTGACACGCAGGAACTATAGATCTCTGAATAATTAATGCACTTTATAGCCACCGGTCGATTTTTTTTTTTTTTTAAACAAACATTTGTTTTCCCTGGATTTTTAAGTACAGCAGAAAATCGCCCCAAACGAGCCGATAAATACCCATCAGGAAACCCATCCCCCCGGTCCCGCATTAACACCCGCCGCTCCCAAAGCCAAACTCCCCCGATCCCTTGGAGTTCATGCTTTTTTTTTTTCGCTTTCAGTTTCCTCAGGACCACTTAGAAATATCTGCAGTGTTTTTTAATCTGGAACGCGTTTCTAAACTTTATAAACGTTAGCATTATCTGCTGGAGCCGCCCGGAAGGCTGCGAAGCCGGCTCGGAGCATTTCCACCAACTTTTCCTCTCCTTTCCGCGGGGTAAAATAAATTCTTGCCCGAAAGGACTACTTCCGTCCCTTTGGGGATGGATCCGGAAAGGAACAGCCATGCAAATTTGAGGCGCTTTCGCTTTTAAGTTAAAAAAAAAAACAAACCCAACGAATTAACCAAGTCCGACGGCAGCCTGGGAAATAAACTTCCCGCAAAGGCGGGGGGGTGGACCGGGCGGCACCCCCGGCCCCTCCGACCCCTGGGTGTGTTTCACAGTTTTTTGTCCTTTCCCGATCCCGGCTCACCTGGCAAAATGCGCTTAGCCCGGGGGGCTGCCCCTTTCCTTCTGCAAACAGCCCCGAGCGAGAGCCTGAACCCCGCTGTTATCGCTGCTGATGCTATCTCTGCTGCGGGCTCACTTGTCACAATGTTTGCCTTTCGGTAGTTTAGACAAATATACAAGGATCTTAAATTTATCAAACAGATGAAGCCTCATTTATTAAACGGCCCTTTCGAGCTACCGCGGATTAGGACTCCCCCCACCCCCCCTTCAAAGGGGCATTTTCTGCAGCAGCTCTGGTCACTGCTCTCAAGGTGCAGGAACTTCAGCAGAGGTGGGGCAGGGAGGCGTTAATACTTGGAAGCAAGCTGTGTTGCAAAATTATTTGTTTTTTAAAATAAAAAATATTCAGATTTGATTTTCAGCACCCCCCCAAGAGACATTACAAAAGGTTTGGTTTTTTTTTTCTTTTAAGACCTGCAGCTAAAGTAGCATCACAAGTAGAATCTAAGAGGCGCAGCCTAAATTCTACGTTACCAACTCCTCCTTTTACAGGAACCCAAATAAAATCTCTCGGATACAGGATTAAAGATACAAACCAACCCTGAATGCCTGCTCACAGTTAAGAAAACAACCGCTACCAAATACTCAGAAAGAGGAGAAAAGAAAGCAAGCTGAATATATGCTGTATGTCAATACAACGCGCAACAGGAATGGTCAGAATTAGGAACTGTGCTCAACCGTCCTGTGTGCTAGACATGGAAACAAACATGCAGAATCATGCAGAGCTGTAAAACTTTTCTCATGCTAATCCAATACAAAGCAGAACATTTTACATGTAAAATGCAATACAGTAACATATCAAACTGTCTTATCTTTTATATTTATATCCTTTTTGCCATTAATGTTTAAAAAAATCACTATGGAAGGAATAAGCACATCAAAATTTTAAGAGCTATCTCATACTTGGAATAATTTCAAAAATACTTCAGGACCAAAAGAAAAGTTAAATTTCTTTTATGGTATCACATAAAAATCACCATTCTACTTAATTGCTTATATTAAATTCTAGTTCTAAGAAATCAAGAGCGTTGTTTTTCAAAATAAATTCATTCCTTGATAGGATTTGATAATCTCAGCTTTCAGCCCCACTGATGTCATTTTTAATACCGACAAGAGCAATTTACTCCATAGGAACAAAGAAGTGAACGAGTGCTTAACACACAGGGTATTCTCTGCAGACAGCAGAAACCCACCGCTTCTGCCAGTGACTTCTTTCCCCTTCACGAAGAAATTACTACCTTGTTTAATATTAAGCAGATATCTAAAAAACCATCACTGTGCTTAAACTGGGATGTGAGAATATTTACCAGTCGTGTCACACTTTAGAAATGTTGCTGAAGGACTACAGAAAACATTCAAGTGCAACCTCATTAAACTAATTGCACTCTATACTGCCTTTGAAATAGGAACTTTACTGAAGGCTACTAATTTTCAACAAAACCCTGGTAATCAAGTAACTGGGAGCAAATAAAGTTTGTGGAAATTAGCAAGTCAGTTCAGAAGCGTATTTTAAGAGGGCAATTACGTTTTCTGCTCAGGCACAAGATGTAGTAACAGGCCCTGTAAAATCCGCGATGGAATAATACAATACAGAAGCACGGAAAACTTCAGAGTGTAGGGAGTTTAGCGTTATGTTCCACCGGCAGGATATAAAAATAGGAAAGTAAACCAAAGCGTTTGGGCTAAAAGCCTCATTGAACTTTGCAGTATTCACACGGGCCTGTGATTCGAGATGTCTTTATTTAAGACGCCTCCCTGGAGCTTTATTCGCAGCAAGCTAATTAACATTCAAGGAGGGTGGAATTGCGGGAGGGGGAGAAAAAGGAGAAGGAAAGGAGGTGTCACCTACGTGAAGTTCAGTAATGTATACGGCCAGTCGCAAACTTATTAAAGCAGGAATACTGCCGACCAACAGAGGTAAAGGGAGTCGAATGAAGAATTAAAGGTCTTGGGCAATTTGTCATCATCTCTCAGAGCTCAGGGTCAATGATCTCTTACCTTTGGGTCGATTTTCTTAAAACTGGGATCTTCTTCATCCACCTCAAAGTAGAGCTCAGAAAGAGTGATGGACAGAGTGCCTTTCACTACTACCGAGGGTGCCACGAGCTGGGCTGGCGTGCTGAGGGCAACCGGACCTGCCAAAGAGGGAAAACACCAACAGGATTCAAAACAGAGAAGAGAGCGGGTGCAAACTATTTCCTTTTCAAGCCTAGACCATTCAAATAAATAAAGCAAAGAGCATAGCTATTCCTTAAAAAGCAAAACTCTTTTTATCCCGGCAAAGAACATATGTAACAGATTTGCAGTGCCTCTGCGCTGCCGAGCGCTGAAGCAGCTGCGACTGCAAACCGCTGCATACGTTACACACGCCAGAGCTGGCTTTAGCATGGCACTATGGAGTTTTTACTCAGATTTTCTTTTTGAGAACCTTCAGGAGTTGCGTACTTTGTTATATGCAATACGGACAGTGCACACACCAACACTTGGAATCTTACTGTCAGGCGTGTTCTTGAGGTACAGGAGAGTGTCTGTAGCTTTCCACAAAGATGCACACAGCAGTCAAGGCTCAAAGTCGGCTGACTGTGAAGTGTTCCCTCACAGATGCCACAACTCCATTGTTAAGGTTACACAGTGTTACAGAGCCAAAAGTAAAACGTTTTAAAGATGCTTTTGATTCCACGCTAAATATTGTTCGAGGATTCCTTACAGTGTTCGTGTAGCTCGGGGGCTGTGGGAGTAAACAGCTGGAGGGTTGGTTTCCAACTGAATGAATTTTTATTGGAATAATCACATCTCCACAGGGCTTATCACAGGGACAGATCAGCCTAGGACTGAAAACAATGGGTTCAGCACAGATCTGACAAAGCAGAACCTATTGCATAAATAACGCGTACAGAAAGAAAACAAGTTAGGTTTGCCATCCAGCTGATTAAGAGGTAAGGAAACGAAGTTACTTGGCTGTGGTGTTATTTGACTTTTGTAAAACGGTGAACGATAGGAAAGTGACACAGACAATTTTGTTTTAATAAAGCATCTATAAATGAGGTACACACGTTCAGGTAATCAACGTGAGAATAACTGACAAAAAATTCAGATGAATTGTCATTTCCATCGATTGTTAGGAGGGTGATGGTCCTTAATCTCGCATCAATCTCAATGTGTGCCACTAGGACAAAAGAAGAGATGCTCTGCGGAGATCAGAGCAGCTTTGCCCTCTATTCCCAGCGTACAAATACATTGTGTTTGCAGATGGGCATGAGATAGCTGCGGAACTGCCGTGATTTCCCAAAGCTCACCCCCAC